TATCATATATACATGCCGTGTGGAAATGTTTTTGAGGATTTGAACCTCTCTCACAAGCTATTCCTCTGCACACATAAAATTACACAACTCTCCTAGCCTAAAAATGACATTCCTAGCCATCTCTCTAACCTCGATAAGAGATGACCTATAATAAATCATCTACGTTAGTGCCACATGCACATTGTTTTCGATATAACCTGAGCCATAAACCACCTAACCTAAGTCAGTCAATCACAGTACACTCCTACTGAAGTACACAAATTACTATAAAGGATTTTATGTACAAGTTTTCTAAGCCTTTAAAGACCACAAACCCAAAAAACACTCCATAACACAAACAAAATCATGTTAGATTATTATCATGCAGACGAAAACAAACAAATATATACTAGACTCCAGGACATTGATGAACACAACTTAAAGAAATTCTCCATATTATTAATTTAAAGAAGAATCACAAATGGTTCACACAGTTTTCATATGTAACACTGAAATGCTACACACCGCGTGAAATGTAACAATAAAGAACCAAAGAGAATCCAAACAAACCCCAAATCAAAGCTTTTGACAATCACATAGCTCCTAAATGGTTTTCAATGCTATTTCACTTATCAAAAAGAGCTCCTTTATAATAATACTTTCCTGCATAGCATTATTAAAAAACGAAAGAAATTACTTGAGCTCTAAGAATAGAGATGGCACCAGAGCTTACCTTGAGCTTGAGGTGAACAAGCTTTAGTTGAGAAAGCTTATAGAGAGATAATAAAGTGATCAAGATCAGGGAGAGTATACCATACCCATATGACTACTTTCCCCAGCAATTTTGGGAACCGCAGTGCAGTTTGTTAATTTCTTCGCTCTTCCACCCTTTTTTTTGTAGCTCTCACCTTATCAAACAAGTTCAATCTAAAGGATTGGGAAGAGAGAGGAAAATTGGAGGCTTTTCCCTAGAGAGAGAGGATGAAGAGAGGAGAGAAAATGGTGAACGAGGGTGGAGATGGTGGAGGATAGGTGTGTAGATCCTTCACTCATCACTTTGGAGAAAGAGGATATATCTGATACTTTCAAAAGAGATTTGACGATGGTTGTGGGTTCATTCTCACCTCCATCAAATGACTTGTTCGGTCTTTAAAATTGGGTTAAAAGGGCTTGGAGCTTGTCCCATGAGCCGGTGGTTCGAAAGGTAGAAGAGAATCGTTGTGTGTTCATTTTAGCATCTCCCGAAGATGTTTGGAAAGCTATGTAGATACCTATACGACGAGTGTGAGGTAGGCTTTTAACCATCACAGTCTAGAGCTCTTTGATTCATTCATCTTATATTTGTAAATATTTCTGTTGGATTAGATTTTTTGATATTCCGTTGCATTCTTGGACCTTTAATGTTTTTCATAAACTTGGGAATCTCTGTGGTGAGTTTGTTGGTATGAATAGGACGGGTCTTAACAGTGGGGAAATGTCTTTTGCTCGAATGAGAATTAAGAGGAATTATTTATCGCTAAACTAGAAGTCATTAGACTTTATGTTCAAGATGAGGACTTCTTAATCCTAATTCAGATTGAAGGTCAAAAAGCTAATACCAAATCAGTTGAGAGATCATGCCCAATGGTGCATGAGAAAGCTGATTGGGAGGTAGTTGAAACGGAACGGCAGACTGTAGTCAGGAAAGGACGTAGAGATGACAATGATAAAGTTATACTTGGAGAAGGTTCTGTGGAAAAGTTGCAGCGAACAATGGAGTTCAATCCTCGAATGAGTTCCAACCATATATGTGGTGGATGTGATAACGTAAGTTGCAAGGGAGGCAACCTATTCATTCGGTTTCCAAATTCAAAAAGAGGTGGATCCCAACAAGTAGGCAAGATAATTTGGGTGACGGTTCTACAAATTTGAAAAAGATTGAACGACTTGACCGCCCAAGGGGCGTGCTGGGCTCCACAAGTCAAATTAGAAAGGGCAATCTTGGAAATATCTCAAATTGTGATAAAGACAAAGATGGAATGATTGTAGATGATTTGGGGAAAGGGAATTGTCAATCAAATGAAGGTGGGGATATACGTATAGGAGATATTGTTGTCCCTATCAATAGAGTCGCTTTAAGGAGGGTCTTTTGCCCATTTGTTGGAAAATGCAGTTTCGGCCATTTTCTAAGCGTTAACAGGAGTAAAAAGGTAGCCCTTATTTTGTTCTTCCTATTTCGTCTACACAAGGGTATTTCTCTGGTTCTTGCAACTACTTGGTGTGTTAGATATTTTTCGTTCCGAAGGGCAGCTCATATGAGGGCTATACGAGGGTCGAGGGTTCCTATTGAGGACCAAGGGCTGCTTATTATTGTGATTGATGAAGGAGTTGAGCTGATATTGTGCTTTTACAGATGCTTCCGGCAGTTGAGTCATTCACCTTCTCTTCTGAAATGGAAGGAAGTGACTCTGAATGAGAGATTGAACATCCGGCTCTAGGTAACTTGAATGTTGGGATGGTGGGAGAACAAGTCTGCTGGACGCTACGAATCTGCCAGAGGGAGGTGTGGAGGCGTCGGAGGTGGGTATCAGTAATATGATAGGACGTGTGGAGGAGTTGCTGATGAGAATGAGGATGTTGTGCATGTGGCTATGCCTGGAGATGGAGGCGAGATAAGAGAAGAGGGGGAGATAGTAGAGGTTGAAAAGGTTGTGAATAATATTGTGGAGGATGTGGGTGGAGAAGGAGAAAAGGTGGAGCAGGGAGCTCACAGCGGTGTTATTGTGGACCAACCTAAGGAGATAGCTGCTATGTCTAATGACATAGGGATGGCATTCAATGTGCCTATTGCTACAGTATTTGAGGTGATTAAAGAAAGGGTGAAGGAGAAAGAAGAATAAGAAGAGAAAATCTGGTGTGGTGATTAGAAGATGGAGGTGTGGGGGAAGACCTTAATGGAGTTGGTCGGGCTGTGGCAACCCCTACTAGGTTCTCCCTATGACAGGTTGCAAGATGAACATGGAAAGGATGTCGTTGCGGTTGTTGAAACTAATTCATCCTCTTCTAGCTCTAAAGATAGTCTTGGTCTGCTCATGATAGGAGACTGTTCACACCTTAATGAAGATGTGTAGTTGGAATGTTCGTGGACTTTGGAAGGCGAGAAGAAAACGGGAAGTTTTGCTCATGGTCATGTCCCTAAAACCTGACGTTGTGCTACTGTAGGAAACTAAGCTACCAAGTTTGATGGTTAGATCAGTTAAGGATATTTGGGGTGTAGGGCTTGTGGCCTTTGTAGGTGTTGATTCAGTAGGAGTGTATGGCAGGCTGTGGTCCTTGTGCGATCCCACATGTTTTAAATTAGTGGGTTCCTTTTTGACAAAAAGAATATGGATGGTGATTTTGGAGGGGATTTTGGATTGTTTTACTTAGATGTGTTGCAATGTATATGGTCCAAATGCAAATGAATTGAAAGAAGATTTTTTAAATGTTCTATCCAATGTTATTGCAGATGTCAATGTGCCTTTCTGTATTCGTGGAGATTTTAATAGGATTCGATGGCCAGCTGAAATCTCTTATGTTACTTCTCTTAATCAATCTATGAGGCTTTTTAATCAATTCATTTTGAGGCATCAACTAATTGATTTGTCAATTAATGGTGCGCTCTACACTTGGTCGAACAATAGTGTTTATAATCTCATTCAAAGTAAGATTGATTGGTTTTTAATTTCTAGTGAATGAGAGTAGCAATATTTGCTGGCTCGTGTAGTTGCTTTCACCAAATTGTCTCGGATCATATCTCAGTATGTCTACATAGTGAAAATTGTCAATTTGGACCAAAACCTTTTCGGTTAGATCTGGTTTGCTTGGAGGAGAAAGATGTTGTCGACATAATTAAACATACTTGGGAAAATTCTATTATCATTGGATGGTATGGATTTCGTGTGCACAAGAAATTGATTAGCATCAAACATAAGCTAATTCAATGGAAGATAGAAACTAAATTTTAGATCAAGAAAAGGATTCAAGGAAATTTGTTGGAATTGGAGGCAATTGAAGCTCAAATTCAAAATGGGGGGAGCTTTACTAATGATCTTCATGACGAGAATGTGGGTTTGCTAAGCTCTTTCTATGAGAAGCTGAGAGCAGAAGAAATACATTGGCGTCAAAGATCAAGAGTGAAATGGTTGGGAGATGCAGACCTAAACACGAAATATTTTCGTGCAATTGCAAATTCAAGAAGGAGACATGACTTATTTGGAATCTGTTTTAAGGGAGTCATGGAAGGGGATAGATGGCTGGGAACTGAAATTTGTCCATCATTTTCATAATCTATTTATCAAGGAGATGACTCTTTTTCCCACATTGCATGGGCTGAATTTTCAAAGGCTAACGATGGAGGAGGCAAGTTCCCTGGAAGCTTGGGCAACTATAGAGGAAGTCAAAAATCCGGCCTTGACGGATTCCCCCTTAGATTTTTCCAAAAATGTTGGGATGGTATGAAGTTGGACTTGCTGATGATGGTCAATGAATTTCTTCATAGAGGTGTCTTAAACAAGGCAATCAACTCTACTTATGTGGCACTTATTCCAAAAAGTGGATCAATTTCTGGATTTTCAGACATTCGCTTGATTAGTTTGCTAACAAGCATGTATAAGATACTTGCAAAACTTTTGACAAAAAAGGAATAATATCAGAGCACAATCGGTGGTCTGGAAAAATATCTTGCATTACACATTCATGATTAGTTGTTCTAGATGGGAGGTTAGGGATGGTCTTAAAGTTCCTTTCTGGCATGGGAAACGGATTGAGGAAGCTCCATTGAAGTATTCTTTTCCATTGGTATTCAATGCTACTGCTAACCCTATGGCTTATGGCTAAACTTAGTGATATGTTCTGCAGGGAGAGAAGAGCTTGGCATATAACTTGCATTTACAATAGGATTAGTGATGAGTTCATTTCGCATATGACTGAATTGCTTACATGGCCGGAAAGGGTCGACTCCAAGATGAATTGGTGTGGGAGGCTGAATGTGACCAGGTTGCACTGAGGTGAAAAATATATTAATAAAAATTACCCTTGACAGAACCCCAAGGAGGTTGAGCCCCATATTACATTTTCAACACTCACAAGTCAACAAGTGTTATCATAACTCTGTCAAAATCCATTGGTAATTACAATCTTTTCAAAAAAAAATTGATATAGACAATCAAATCAAAGCTCCTTGCTCTATCCTCAATCACAGATTGGCGAGGAGAGGCATCGATTTACCAATTCCAATTTTGCGAAGCCAATAGACTTGGCCAGCCGTCTTCCTATTGCTTTTGCTTGGGCAGCTTTCAGGACGAAATCTTTCTCACACACTAATCAAGCGCACACTCCAAGTGTTGGTATATCAAGCAACATCTTAGCAAATTGCATATTATGATGCCAGTATTGCAACCCCAGGCCATCATCAAGCTCACGCGCATGATAATTACACAAACTTCTCAACAAAACTGCCTGATTAGTTGTATCTAGTTGAGTAAGCATCATCTGTGTATCTCTGATTTACAGATTGCCATGATCCTCGCCAATTCCTTCTATTTGCACCCCTCTCAAATGGGTAACCATAAGGATCTGATGATGCTTGGGAACTATGGCTGCTACTACCTTTCTTTTGAAGATTCCTCATCTCCTCATTATTGTCATACTTTACACGCTGCAAGTAAAAAGCTCTCAAAATAAGTCCATTAATATGATGCATAGAACATGTAAATAATGCATAGCACGTAAGGTATCACGGAGAAGATTGCAAATAATGTATGAGACGTGAATATTTGGTAGCTTCATGGAACGAACTGCAAATACTGCAACAAATATGACGAGCACAGAAAATTGTATGGAACATGATATAATAGGCAGCGATGATCAACAAGACTGCAAATAATACATGAGTATGACTGCAAATAACTCAGATAGCCGCAATGGAGATAACAAGTATAACAGATGTATGGAACATGAAATATTAGGAAGCCATGTTCGATAAGATGACCGATCGCAAACAATGACGGGAATGCCAAATAATGTCTAGCCATGTATGGAACATGAAATATTAGGGAGCCATGATCGATAAGATGACCGATCGCAAACAATGAAGGGAATGCCAAATAATGTGTAGCCATGATGGACATAGAGGATGCAACAAACATATTGAATGAGAACTACTAGGTAGCTGTGAATGACATAATGAATATGAATAGGAGTGTGCAATCTGAACACAGGCCCAATGCCATTGATACTGAAAAAAAGAATAAGCTCAATTTTAGGGGCAGGTTATCACTGAATCATTTATACCCCACAAAAGACAGATTCAATGGAAATAAAAAATTGGTCAACAATAGAGCCTATAGGGAGAAGATAAACCGAAAGTTTCTTTGTATGCACATCTTACATTGAGATTACATTCTGCAAAGTATATTATATTGGCTGGGTTAATCTAGAGCTCATACCGAGATTAGTATGCTCTGCGTCTGCCTAGCTGGTCTAGGATCTCTCGCATCAGAAAACATAGTATGAACTAAAGGTTGATTTTTAGTGTTGATGTTATTCCACTGTCAATACGTTCTTAGTGTTAATATAGCAGGAACTCTGTTGAAAGCAAGAAGGCCGTGGAAGGAGTTCATACCTTGTTAACAGGAAAAAGAAAGTTGGCCTTACCATTTTTCAAAATTTACAGTCAATATAGTAAATTATTTTAAAAAAATTAAATTTAAAATGGCAGAGGATAATGACTCAGATATCTCTTTAGATGGTACCCCTTCAAGTACAAATTTCCATCCAATGTTTTCAAAACAAGATCATCTTTTTGAAATAACCTATACCCCAAGAAAGTTTTCTGAAACCAATTCTCAGTTAATTAATCCTTATCATGTTTATGATAAATCTAGCCTAAATTGGACCAAAAGAATCAAAAAGCTGTGTGGAAAAAAAAATCCTAAAGCTATTAAAGAATATGTTCAAGCCTCTTCTTTTGACCAACACCAAATACCTGCTACCCAAGCTGTACAATACATTACCATTACCTTACCCAGTAACCTATTTCCCCAATGGCTTAAAGATGGTTATACTCATATTCATTTTGGAGCCATAAAACTAGCATTGACTTTTTATGGAAGCGGTTTCCGAATTGCTTTGTTAGATTCCAGATTTTTAGAATATCAACATGCATGTATCGGAACTGTGCAAACAACCTTGAATGCAGGAACCATATTTGTTACCTTTTTCCCAAATTTTAATATCCCAATTAAAGACCCTCATTTAAGTTCTGCCTTTAAAGTCCAGTTACAGATCACAAGAACCAAACAGATTGAAACAGCCATTGTAGCTACACTCCATTATCAATGGTGTATAGACTACAAAACCATGCTTTTGATATAGTTACCCTTTACCCCCTGAACAAGAAAATACAACCTTGTTTATCAAAGTTGACAATAATTCCCAACCTGTCTGTCATTATATTCCTAGACAAATATCTCGAGAAAGGTTGCTTGAATTGATTCCACCTACATGGGCGACAAATTATGAAACTTTTCAAAATCAAAGTCAACCATTGATGCAATCTGATTCCAGAATGACAAGAATGCCTGATGGAACCGTACAGCTAAGTTTTCAGACCTCAAGAGTCATTGAGAACGAGACTAGAGAAATATTTCCTACTCAATTCCAATGATTGCTTGAAAACGTCCCAGTAGTTGCTTTTGACAAAACAGGAAAGCCAATTTATGAACAAAAAACTTCTAATGGACATAATTGGTTTGACTCCTGTAATTGCTCTTCTTGTCTTGAAGATGATTTGGATGCTCTGCCAAAAACAAAAACTCATCTCAACAAAACCTTCATCAAAGATATATAGAAGGTGATCCATCTGTTGGATTACTTGGAGAAAGTTCAGGAAAATGGGATTATTATGTGACTTATGGTTGTCCAAAATCCAAACACACTGATTCAGAAATCGTCCCTAGTGGATGGGATGATAAAAAGGATCCAAAAAAAAACCATATCCCAGAATGCTTAGCCCTTGATCCTCTAAGCTCAAGTTATGCCTCAAATTTTCCTCCATTACGTGACTATGAAAAACTTCAAGAAAATGAAAAACATGTATGGAAGATAAAGAATCCCAATACTAGAGATGCTACTGGAGCACAAAAGTCCATTTCTCTAGCTGAAGCCAGCCTGAATTGGCAAGCTGAAAATGCTAAGTCTCAGAATTTAGCATTATTTCGAATAGAAGAAAAGCAAAATATTATGTCTTCTCAGTTGCAGGGATTATTTGGCATAATTGTTCAATTAAAAGAAAAAAATCAATTGTTGCATGAAGAATTGATGCAAATTTTGTATACAATGAAAGATATTCATGAACAGTCTTACTTATTGAATCAAAAGGGAAAAGAAAAAGCTTTTTTAGAAAAACAGTTGCAAAGCCTTGAAAAAGATCTTTGGATGAAATCCCAATACCCTCAACACCAATACCAGTCCCAATTCCAACCTTTGTTAGCAAATCCATATACCCAGAACTACCCTACCTTAAGAAGTCCTGATCCCTTTCCACCCACAAGAACCCTTTACCCGCCTACTGGTTTAATTCCTCCCAGACATTATGGTTTTAGGGCATTAAGTTCTTTTGAAGAAGAAAGACGTTTTCCTGAAGAAATGTTCTTTCCCCAATTAAGAAAAAAACCAAATGTATCAATACCCAGTTTACCAAAATCCAATTCCCAGACCCCTAACATCACCACCACCAACAGTTCAACCTCCTACTGATCCCCAATTACCAAAAAAAGAAACCCAAATGTTCCAAAAATCTGATACTGAATCAGATATCGTAGCCTCTTCTGTTCCAACTCATATTCATACCACCTCTAAACCCTTGAATAATATGAGCTCATTTCTCAAAAATTTGACAAAACAGCCTGAAGTTAATCTACAATCTGAAACTCAATCTTCAGATGATATGTCTGATACATCTGAAACTTTTATTGAAGATAATTCTTCTTCTTCCAAGGATTCAGAATCTTTACTAATGATGAATCCTCCAGAACCTCCCCATGAACCTGACCCAGTAATGGAAGAAGATAGCAATCCTCCTGACCACCAAGAACCTCAACCTATCCCTACCTATGATGACTCATCTAAAGGCATTACAATTGATGACATTCCACCATCAAGATGGAATGATAGATTCAGAGAGATTCAAGGATGGATGCATTCAGAAATGCTCAATCCAGCAAATACATTAGCTAGTACAATTTCTAAAGTTAGTGTTAGGCTAAGAGGACGCCTTTTTTATTGTTATATAAGTCTTGGAGAATACAGGCAAACACAGTTGAGAAATAGTCAGTCCATTGTTGAATTTCTTAATTATTTAGTCTCTGAATTCTCAAGCCCAGTGAAACATGAACAAATTGCTGCAAGAGAAGAATTTTTCTAGCTCAAATGTTGTTCTTTTAAGAGACAAGATCTTGAAAAACATTTTTCAAAGATGAATAAGAGATACCATAAGACAGGAGGAATTGATGATGTAAATTTAAAACAATTTTATCTTGAATCCATACCTCCTACTCTTGGTAAAGAAGCAACAAAAACAATGGAAAATCAAGGACTTACAATTCAAAACACCAGTTTTGGTGAATTATATCAATTTGTTCTCCATGCTTTGGAAAGATTGTGCAATCAAGTTGAATTTGTGAAACAAATGGAAAAAAATAAGTATTTATTAAGAAAATCTTGTGATAAACCATATCTCAAGATCAAATGTGATGCAGAAAAACAGTGTGTGTGTCCAACTACTTCGAAAGGCAGCAAGAAGCTTGAACAAAAAAGAAGACAAAAGAAATTCAAAAGATTCAGATATCTTAGAAGGTCAAGATTTCAAGGTTCCAGGCACAAGAAAGGAGATAGATGTTATGTATGTGGAAAGAAAGGGCATTATGCAAAAGACTGCCCTAATCAGAAAAAGAAAAAAAAGATAATGCACTTGCTGTCAAAGGTTTTGGATGAAGAAATTGATGAAGATCTAGAATCTGTATTTTCTCTTGATGATGAGCAAAGTCAAGAGAAATTGCTATCCATTTCTTATTGGCAATGAGGTAATTGAAATAATCAACACACAAATCCCAGAGATAATGTCTCCACAGGAAAATATTTCAGACATAAACAGTTTACCCATCCAGCCTACTCCAATAGCCCTGGTCCAGATACTCCACGAATACTATTCCAAACCTTTGACCATACCAGCATTCTTTGATACAGGGGCATCAGCTAATATCTTAAAACCTGATTTACTACCAAAACAGTTTGGAAAACATGTAACCAGACTTTTAGAGCTGCTAATGGAGAGAAATTTACCATCAACCAGATTAGCAAACCCATTTTGATAACGCTTTTTCCAAAACTAGTTATCCAACATAAACTATTAGGATCCTATTTACCCAATAAAGAACTTTTACTCGGATTTGATGTTTTACATCAAGTAAAACTTCAATGGACTTCCAAAGGACTGCATTATAGGAACCTAACCTTACCCTGGATAGCTTGTATAGATCAACCCTATTCCCTGAAAACCATTCGACAGAAAATTGTGTCAGACTGTTGTGCCAAGTCCCACTCTGAGTTTCTCAAAAAATGTACCAACCCACTTTGGAGAAACCAGAATTTTTATGT